TTGGTAATAGTGAACCCTTAGTGGAAATGGTTCTGTTCCCATTCAGGCATTCACATATTTAGTGTGAAACTTCTCCGTAGGAGCTTTATTGGATGATACTGATTCTATATCAATCCAAAGTGGGTTGGCAAGTTAGTGCATCCTTCTTCAAGCTAGATATAGGCCACTACATTTGAAGGACGTCAAGTTGAGGAAGTCTACATTATTCAACTTTAATCAACCCACCCATGGTCATGATTCACACTGGCTTTTATTTATTTATTACCTCATTAGATTTCCCTTGTCTCTGAGAACAGTCCACCTCTCAGAATAAAATTAAGTTCTCTCATTATTCCTTTACAAATGTTAGTAGTATGGTTGGGGAACAATCCTCTTGAAGTTTCCTAGACCAATACTTACTCAATCTAATGAAGTACAATGGTCTATCATGTTCTTGTCTTTTCACTTTTTCCTTATTAAACCTTAAGAAATATCTCATGATGGAATTCCTGTTTGTTTGTTTTTAATGTATTATTGTTCCTGTCACTGCTAAGTGGAAATCCTGTCCTTGACAAAATATTTCAGTATTATCCTATCTATGAAAAAATTTCCACCTAAATATTCCTACCCTATACCTTTGACAGGGAATTTTAAGACAAGGCAATGCTTACCAGTGTTAATTTAAATCAGATGGGTGGCGGGGGGGGGGAAGAAATCCTCTGTTTTTTATAGGCAATTTTAAAAAGAAATACATTTATCTTCCATATTTTCAAACTGTGCACTAATGAGGAATGAGTGTTCTGGACATACTTCTCTCCCAATATAATTTGACTGGAGCATCAACCATTGACCATTGACATTGTGTTGTTGATGATGACTTGTGCCTCAAGCCACCCTTAATGAGTATTAAGTTTGTTAGTTGAGTTTTGGATTATGATAGATACATTCAATTAGCCCTATACTAATTATGTTTGTGTCTATATTTACTTATCCCTTTTTATAGGTTTTTTTAGATATTTACCTATATTTAATGATAGATAGACAGACAGACAGACAGACAGACAGATGATGGATGGATAGAGGGAGAGGGAGAGATAGAGGGAGAGGGAGATAGACAGACAGACAGACAGACAGATATCTGCCATGTGAAAACAACTTCAGGAAGAAGGCATATGAGAAACTGGACAAGTACCAGGGCCTAAAGGAGGAACTAGAAAGGATGTGGAAAATAAAAGCCAAAGTGGTCCCAGTGGTGCTGGGCTCCTAAGCGGGGAGAATAGCTCCAATAGCTCTCATAAATGACATCAGATCTCTCTGTCTAGAAGCATGCAATGCCAGGATTAGCTAAGATCCTGCACAGAATTCTCAGATTCCCGGTTGTCGTAATTTAATCTGGTGGCTCCTAAAGCAATCCAGAAATAGCTCTGTGTCTTTCAGAAAAGCTGGAGAACTAGCAGAAGCGGGTAGAAATTGATCTCAGTGACAGCTGCAACAACCTGAGCATCTGATTTTAAAATGCAGGCAGTCAGTCCCGTCCAGAACAGGAAGCACCTCCAACTTCTGGTTTGCCAGCCATATTGGTACCATATGCAAAAACCTGAAAAGGAACGCCTTTCTCTGACGGGGAATCAGATGTAACCTGTTCTTCTTCACCCAACTCCCATTTGTCGTTGGTTGTGGTTTTTGAGCCATTCAACCCAAAGGGGCACCTGTAACAGCCTTGAGCCCCAGTCTAAAAGGTTTTTCCAAGGCCTTGTTCTGAGACTTCCTTTTTTTTCTAAGCAGAAATCCCCAGAATTAGGAAGACGGTCTCGAGTTTCCTAGTCTAAAACTCTCGGGCTAGTGTGGGAACTGTAGAATTTATTTTCCAAGAACAGCTGTCTTAGATGTCTTTAGTGAAGACCCCTTCTTCTCAGGATGCAGATTCTTGAATATACCTTATTAGGAAACTTCTCTTGGTATTTATTTAAAATCTGCTTTCTATTACTTTCAGTCCACGGTTTTCTCTGAAGCAACATATAACGTGTTAAGTCTGTGTACTCCAGGGTAGTTTTTCCTATACTTTCCTGACTCCTAAGACTCTCTCCAACCTAAGCATAGTAAGATGGTAGAAAGAAGGGTTGCAAAGGGCTTGAAGGACATGGTACCCTCCGCGATTATTGTTTTCTGATCAGAGCCTGGTTGTGTGAAGAGTTGAATCTGGGATCTGCAGCTGACAGCTTTGCCAAGCATCACTAAGGGAAGCTCTCAGCTTCTGCTGATTTGGCTCTGTCCTGTGGTGGGCTTGGCAGGACACTTCAAACATTATTATTGATTTTCGTTTTTCCTCCCCCTCCCTCTTGGGTTCCTCTATGCTAATTGTACCTCTGTAGCAAAACAATCCAATTATCATGTTAATTAGTGGGAGGGTTGTTGGAGCTTTCCAGTTCATTACCTGCTAATTTCAAGATAAATGAATCCACAGGTTGCTTAGTAAGTAAGGTCACCTATCAGGCAACCATAAACATATTGATAAACAAAAAAGTGGGATGATGGGAGAAAGGGGGATTGAGAGTTTATCAGTGCCCTCCTAACCATACCCAAGTGCTCCGAGTTTGTTGGCGATGTCCATTTTGCTCTATGAGTTCATGGTGACCTAACCCTAACCCTAAGTGGAATTTTCCTCCAATGGGATTTTCCCATGTATTTTACCAGGAAACATAGATAGGGCAGCTAGAAAAGTCAGTGCCCTCCTAACCATACCCAAGCACTCCGAGTTTGTTGGCGATGTCCATTTTGCTCTATGAGTTCATGGTGACCTAACCCTAACCCTAAGTGGAATTTTCCTCCAATGGGATTTTCCCATGTATTTTACCAGGAAACATAGATTGGCAGCCTAGAAAAGTCAGTGCCCTCCTAACCATACCCAAGCACTCCGAATTTGTTGGCGATGTCCATTTTGCTCTAGTTCACGGTGACCTAACCCTAACCCTAAGTGGAATTTTCCTCCAATGGGATTTTCCCATGTATTTTACCAGGAAACATAGATAGGGCAGGCTAGAAAGGTCAGTGCTCTCCTAACAATACCCAAGCACTCCGAGTTGTTGGTTTGTTGGCGATGTCCATTTTGCTCTATGAGTTCACGGTGACGTAACCCTAACCATAACTGGAATTTTCCTCCAATGGGATTTTCCCATGTATTTTACCAGGAAACATCCATAGGGCAGCCTAGAAAGGTCAATGCTATCCTAACCATACCCAAGCACTCCGAGTTTGTTCTCGATGTCCATTTTCCTCTAGGAGTTCATGGAGACGTAACACTAACCCTAAGTGGAATTTTCCTCCAATGGGATTTTCCCATGTATTTTACCAGAAAAATAGATAGGGCAGCCTAGAAAGGTCAGTGCTCTCCTAACCATACCCAAGCACTCCTAGTTTGTTGGCGATGTCCATTTTGCTCTAGGAGTTCATGGTGACATACTAACCCTAAGTGGAATTTTCCTCCAATGGGATTTTCCCATGTATTTTACCAGGAAACATAGATAGGGCAGGCTAGAAAAGTCAGTGCCCTCCTAACCATACCCAAGGCTCCGAGTTTGTTGGCGATGTCCATTTTGCTCTATGAGTTCATGGTGACCTAACCCTAACCCTAAGTGGAATTTTCCTCCAATGGGATTTTCCCATGTATTTTACCAGGAAACATAGATAGGCAGGCTAGAAAGTCAGTACCCTCCTAACCATACCCAGGCACTCGAGTTTGTTGGCGATGTCCATTTTCCTCTCCGAATTCATGTGACCTAACCCTAACCCTAAGTGGAATTTTCCTCCTATGGGATTTTCCCATGCATTTTACCAGGAAACATAGATAGGGCAGGCTAGAAAGGTCAGTGCCCTCCTAACCATACCCAAGTGCTCCGAGTTTGTTGGTGATGTCCATTTTGCTCTATGAGTTCATGGTGACCTAATCCTAACCCTAAGTGGAATTTTCCCCCAATGGGATTTTCCCATGTATTTTACCAGGAAACATAGATAGGGCAGGCTAGAAAAGTCAGTGTCTTCCTAACCATATCCAAGCACTCCAAGTTTGTTGGTGATGTCCATTTTGCTCTATGAATTCATGGTGACCTAACCCTAACCCTAAGTGGAATTTTCCCCCAGTGGGATTTTCCCATGTATTTTACCAGGAAACATAGATAGGGCAGGCTAGAAAAGTCAGTACCCTCCTAACCATACCCAGACACTCCGAGTTTGTTGGCGATGTCCATTTTGCTCTATGAATTCATGGTGACCTAACCCTAACCCTAAGTGGAATTTTCCCCCAATGGGATTTTCCCATGTATTTTACCAGGAAACATAGATAAGGCAGGTTAGACTTTTCTAGCTTGCCCTATATATGTTTTCTGGTACAAATTCAGAGTGCTTGGGTATGGTTAGGAGGGCACTGACTAACCCAACCAAAACTTGATTTAATTCAGATATAGGTTAAATCTACTCTTAACCCATAGCACTTGATACATTTTCTCTTTGAATTAATTTTGCTTCAGCTACAAAAGTAAGAAACAAGATTTTAAATGTCAAATTCCTTCTTCTCAGATCTTCCAACGCTAGCTATAGAGCTACTTCTGGTTATTCTATCCCTCTTTCCTTTTCTTCATGTTTTTAGTTTCATATGAGAGACAGGAGTGATTCCCAAACATTTTCCTTCTAAAGGCCGCAATACTATCATTCAAAGTTCTTGAGGATCGCTATGTAAGCGAATAGTTGATAAAATAGCACCTGTAGGCATCTCTCCTCTCTCAATAGCATCTACAGGACTACCAAAGCAAAGAAATATTAATTTTTCAATCATTAAAATGCCTAAATCCCTAAAAATGATGAGAAAAATGTTATGGAAGAATTACAGGAACATCAAACTTTTTCAAGGTTTGGTTAATGGTCCAATGTTGCCTCTCCCACTCAACCCACCATTTACATAGAGCCAGTTTTGTCTAGTGGTTAAGGCGCCAGACTAGAAAGCAAGAGGTCACGAATTCAAATCCCACCTTAGCCATGAAAGCCAGCTGGCTGACCTTGGGCCAGTCCCCTCTTCTCAGCCCAATTTGCCTCACAGGGATGTTGTGGGGGAAAATAGGAGGAAGATATGTTCGCTGTCTTGGGCTGTTTGTAAAAAATAAAAAGATGGGGTACAAATAAATAAATATTAGAGCCAGTACTTAAGACTTCTGCTAGTATTCTTATGCACCACGGATGAAGAGCTCTTGATTTATAATGTCAGGAATTACTACCCTATTAATTTATATCTTGAAGTATGGTGTATGGCACCGCCTGAGAAGCACTCAATCAGATATTTATACTTCTGGGCTGTTTTGTTATAACTTCCACTGTAAATTTAATATAAAGCTGAGAAAGATATTGAGATATAAAATTTCTGCTGTCTCACAGGTCAACTCCTTGGCTCACCAATATTCTGCCGCTGAAGAGTTTATCCATCTTATGAAAACGAAAACCACATTGGAAGAGAAGCGTGGCTAGAAGGACTGCAAAGTCTTTTCAAGATCTATTTCAGGCAGAATTTAATGCCCTCAGACAACTCCTGCCTACCTTTATTCTCGGCTTCCAAGCCATTGTCTAACTCCTACCGAAACCCTTTCCTTTTCTTAGAGGTTTCTACAACCACCTTTCAAATATTTTTGTTTTCAGTTCGAGGCAACTTCATTTTAGCAAGGCAACATATTCAGTGAGCCAGATGGCATTAAGAAAAATCTAGTCTGTATAATTAAAACAATGAATGAATGAATGAATGAAATTTTTTTTTCTCTCCACTTATATATTGGGCCATTCAAGAACATTTTCTTACAACCAGTAATATTTTTTCTGCTCCTTCCTTCCTTCCTTCCTTCCTTCCTTCCTTCCTTCCTTCCTTCCTTCCTTTCCTCCTCCTCCATCTTTCTTCTTTTTCTTCTCTCCCTTTTTTAATTAAGATAATAAATTGGCCTTAAATTATCCCTGAAATCAGAGTAGCGTTGATTACAATGGAGCTCATGCTGTGACAGCTCAAGATGATGTTATTTTTATTCCTTTTCAATGAGATCTTAATCTCTTCCTGCATGTAAACAAATTGTCAGAGTAACCTTGCTCTTTAATCTCCCACTAGAAGACCTTCAGAGCGTTGAGAGATAAGAGATCTTGCTGAGATTTTATCTGCTTTTACAGAGATGACCCCATTCTTGTCTCTCTTCTGAAACACCTCCAGAAAATCCCATTATAAGCTTTCAAAATCAAGATTTTAAAATAGAAAATGATCTTCACACAAGACGTATCAGGGTACATGTATTTGTACACTGATAACTCTGCTTCGTTTAGTATGAATATTTTTTTTAAGTCAAGGAACTGTCCCAAAGGTGTTTTTTCAAGAGGCAGATGGACTTCCTTTGTTTTTCCTTGAAGAGAATTCACTTCTCATCCAAGAAGCTTCTTCAGTTCTGAGTTAATGGTGGAGGATGGAAGGATTCAGTCAGAACTGAAGAAGCTTCTTGGATGAGAAGTGAAATGTCTTCAAGGAAAAAAAGTCAAGAAAGTCCAGTTGTCTTCTGGAAAAGTACCTTTGGGGACAACCCTGACCTGGATGCCTAAGAATCTCCATAGAAATCAAGGAACTGTCCTGGTTCACAGTGAGAGCAGAGGAGATTCAAACTAACGGATGGAATCCATCTGGGAAAAAGCACATCAGAGTCCTCCAAAATGGCATCCTCAAACAGGATTAAGATTACAACACCCAGAATTCTCATTGAAAGGATCCTGGGAATTCTGGGACTTGCATTCCTGATTAATAATTACTCAGCAATAAAAAGTAGAATTTTTCTTCACAAAAGAGCCGTTGGTGTTTCTACAACTGTCTTGGTTTGCTTTAGAGTTTCTTCTGGACTCCTTTCTTTGGTTTATTTTAATATTGAGATGAAATGGGAGAGACTATGATGGAGGTTCTTATAGTATTTTCTGCCCTCTTTTTGGCTGTACATCTTCATCATTCTTCAGTGATCCTGCTTGCCTATTGATCAAGAAGGATCTTGTGTGGAGTTTCCTTCTTATCTGTTTCTATGAAGTGTAGAAGAAGGGATCAAGTATTTGTCAAAGAGGGTGAGCAATCCAGTTCATGTCTACCATCAATCACGGAGACTCCATGAATGACTTTGGGCCACTTAATTTTTAAATCCAACTTACCTCAGAGAATTGTTGTGGGAAAAGAATTATAGGAGGCAGTGTCTTGAACACCATCTTGAACTGTTGGAAGAAAAATGTGATGTAAAACTAATACATAAATAATTGTAGGAGATGACCAGCCTGAACTTGAGGGAGGGGTCAAATTCATGAATCACTCAGCAACCCTCAAGAGATCGAAGTCCAACCCACCTTGAATTCTTATCTACCACCAAATTGCTGTGACCGTTAGTAGTTCAGATTTTTGTAGAGAGCTTAAGCTTGCAATGAACCTTTATACCCTTTTGAACTGCCTGGATCTCCTGATTTCTCTGGCACTTGACAATAACATGCAGTCACTAGGACTTGTCCTGATCTTAGGGTCAGGGGCTAACTTTTATTTCAACTTTTTCCTCCTCTTCCCTCTACCAGCAAATATTCAAAGTCTACATGTTCTTTCATATTTCTGATATGATAATTTAGAAGGAGGAGGAGGATACTTTGGAGAGACAAAAACATTTGTCTAAATGCTGGACCTGGAAGACCTTTAGTCACTGCGAAGAATGAAAGGAACCCACTCCAAAGCTTTTGTTTTAAAAACTCCCATATACCAGGTTAGTTCCACAAATTCTGATATGTAAATCTGAGGTCATGCAAGCATCGTTGCTTACAAAAATAGGACAGGGAGTGCTCGAGAGCATCCACAAACCTAGAAAGCATTTGCATCAAGGTGAGGCTAATTTAGTGAGGGATGTGTGATACTGCAAAGGGGTCTTACGGACCCTCCTCTGTTCTCTGTTCCAATTTTACATGGCTCATGCAAGGCTTCTATTAATGTTTGGGAAACGTGTGTCATTTATTTCCTGGCAGAGTGGTTATTTGTCTACATAAGAGTGTTCCATCAACCCAAATGATTTATCATGCTCTCCGGCAGGAGATTTCCCTCCCTCTACTGAAAACACAGCCAAAATCTACTCTTCTCCACCTCTCGCAAAGCTCTGCCATTTGGGAGGAATACCTCACAGAGCCCTACAAAGGATCAATGAAGCAGAGAGCTGTAATTCTCATTAGATGATACCTTTTTCAATGTGACATTTCAAAATTAATGGACAGAAAAGACCTCTTGTTAGAATCCCAGTGGGTTAACTAGGCAGATGACGTTAATGTGGGTTTGTAAACAGCTAGGCAACTTGCTCACCTGTGGCGAGAAGAAGAGTCTCCAGATGACCAGGACAGTATAATCTGGAAAATGCAGAGAAAGCTGGACAATTCACAGTTGAGAAAAACGAGCAATGATCCAAAAAGGCTTCCAGTTTAAGTCTGTGCTCAGCCGTGAGTCCCTTAGACCATTCTTAACTCAGAGTAGGGTGAGGGATCTTCAGTGGAAATGTTCATGCTTGCTTGGAGAATCAATGGCCTCCTGCTGATCTTTCCTTAACAAATGTGGCTCGAACTAGGTTCATATGTGTGCAAGTACACTCTCTCACACACACATCTGTATACTTTTCATGCCCCAAAATACTGAACTTGAAGAAAGGGGAGGAAAAAACAAAGCAAATAATGCATTAGCTATCTTGAAACCAGACATGGTTAACGTATCATTTGTAATTATCAGGTTGTCTATTGTAACCTATAGATGTTATCTATGAACTCCTGAAATTAAATATACATCTTTCATTTACTAAAATGCAGCAAAAATAACAGAGTAAAGAGTTGGAAGGAACCTTCTAGTCTAACCCCATGCTCAAACAGGAGACCCTATAACATTTCAGACAGGTGGCTGTCCAATCTCTTCTTAAAAGCTTCCAGTGATGGATCATCCACGACTTCTGAAGGCAAGCCATTCCACTGATGATTGTCTTCACTGTTAGGAAATTTCTCCTTCATTTTAGGTTACTTCTCTCCTTGATTAGTTTCCATCCATAGTTCCTTGTCTTGCCTTCTGGTGCTCTGGAAAATAGGTAGACCCCTTCTTCTTTCTGGCAGCCACTCAAATATTGGAACATTGCTATATGTCACCCCCAAGTCCTTCTTTTCAATAGGTTACTGAATATCCATCCCATAGTTTCAGTCATCTGGAGGATGTCACACAGATTGTCTAGCCTACACTGCCTATGCATACACACACACACACACACACACACACACACCATATATTCCTCTATTTCTCAGAGATGTATCTAGCTTTATCAGAATTTGCAACCGTTGGGATAATGGAAAATATCACCTCATTAGCATGAAGTTTGTCATTTGTTCTCTAATAAAACCAAAGGAAACAAAAAAAGTAAATGACAGTATATTAATGGAGTTTGTCTTGTTTTTAATGTGCGCAGAGACACTATAAAGCTTTTTTATTGGGGAAGTGTGATGACATGCTTGCACTTTGATAGTACAAGTCGAACTCGAAGAAGGAGCATGAATTGGATAGCTCTGTGAAAAAAAAACTCTCCTAATGATGTAGTAAAATTTGACTCTGATGTTGTAAAATCTGTTTATGGCAAAGCCACAGTTTCTGCAGTATCCTATTCGGCCAAGACTGGTAGTAGAACAGCATAGAGGGAAGAAGCCACTGGGTGAAAATGGCTGAGGTTGTATTTCTTATTTGTTTATATTTAGGGGACTGAAGGTTAAAACACATGAAGAACGGTTGCAGGAATTTGGTATGTCTAGTTTAATGAAAAGATGGAGTGGGGGGGGTGACACAATAGCAGTCTTCCAACATCTAAGGGGCTGCCACAAAGAAGAAGACTAGAAATATATAAACCATCAAATGTTCATATGAGTAAACAAGATCCAGAGTACAGAATTACAGAGAGCTGAATTAGGAGTCGAAAGTTCAGCACATTAAACCTGGAGTTGTATATGTATGCCATTATATTATTGGGCAGTGGGCTCCACTCCATAAGAAGTTACCAACTGCAATTCTGAACAATGTGTGAATCTGTAGGGTCTTTGGCGCTCTCTGAGCTTGGTTGTTTTCTTGAAGACATTTCATTACCCAGCTAGGTAACATCATCAGTGCACAATGAAACTTCCGCAAGAAAGCAATCAACTTCAGAGAGGACCAAAGACCCCATAGTTCAAAAGTGAGCTAGAAAAATGTCCTCTTCTCATGTTCGAATCTCTTGATTAAGTGCATAGTAATTCCTCGTCTTTTTGTAATAAATACCATTTTTTTTCTGGTACCCCTTCTGTAATGTAGAATTCACAAATGCAAGTCCAGCTAAATTGCTAACCGTGTTAGGTTTGATAAGTACTGAATTACAATTTTTGTTTGTAAGTAAACTCATCAGGAAATCCCAGGTTGTTAGTTAAACCAGGAAGTGAGAAAAACATCCTGGAGGAAAGCAATGACAAATTATGATCATATTTTGGCAGGGAGGAAAAAAAGTCACGTCCATGAAATGTTAGAAGACCGGTTGATTTTGAAAAAGAGTTTGCATTTATATTTTGTCAGATAGCAACAATCAAACTTTGGCTAATCGTGAAAAATGCTCAGCAGCATTGGATCTAATTAGTGGGTTTAATTAAGGAACTGATTGATGGGAGACCACTAGTAAAGACTTAGAGCTGCTTCTTGACACTCACAGAAGTGTGGCTAAACAGGAGGCAAAGATTAGCTTCTGTGCCATGCTTTAAACTTCACTTTGTGACTCTGCTGGATCCATGAAGTGGAGCTGGTAAAATTTGCACAAGCAGCTGCAATCTGATCCAAGGAGAAAGCAGGTGGTTGTGAAGCAGAGAGACACGACTCACAAATGCTAGACAGGGAGGCAAGTGCCAAAAACAATGTTATTCAAGTGGTTTGCAATAGTTGACCACAGCAATCAATATAAAAGTATTTTAGAGGTGTCAACTGATGGAACACATGCAAATATTCTCTGGCAGGCATTTAAATTACTTCCTGGATTTTAAGAATCTAGGAAGTTTAATTTATCAAAAGCAGAGGGAATGATCCAAAACTTCAAACAACAAAATTCCCCCAAATATTATAGGAGTTCCTCTTATACATAAGTGATAAAATTGTTGCATGTGATCCAACTACACTGTTGTTGTTGTTGTTGTTTTGCTTTGCTCTGTGCCTTGGTTAAGATGTTCTACTACTTGTATGTCAAAGTCCCTTGACTAAATATATAAGTCCTAATGTATATAATTCACATAATGTGTCTATTGGAATAATTGCACAAACAATGCAGACCCCATAAATGCTGCCTATTATCCAGATTGCTTTCAGAAATAAATAACCACTCTGTCCATTAATAAGGGAGGAAATCCCAAATTTAAAAAAAAAATGGCATAGAGTGGCTGAAATCTCCAGAATAGGTTTTCAGACAAGTGAGGAGTTCCTCCCACTGTGTATATCCCATTTTCTCTGTGTGTATTAATATGCTGTGGGAATTCAACAGCGTGCACAGCCCTGCACAGAAATCTTGGATGGGTCACTGTGATATTTGCCAGTATTACTCTCAGTCACTCATGATCTCCACCATCGGCCCACACACTGCAGTGCTCAACCGAGCTGCAAATTCTAACAAATGGGGCTTTGCTTTCAATTCAGTTCTGCCCATTTTTCCCCCTGCTAAGCTCCTGATGAGCTTGAAATAGTCCATTAGTTTCCTGATAAAGAGGGAGAAGATCAGGAGGAAACATGGGAGGAACAGGCAGGGACCATCTCCTGCCTTCTCTGAACCAGGCAGCTGCCCAAAGCTCATGAAGGCCACCACCCCCCTGCTTGGCATGGCTGGTTTTTCACAGATGTACCCAAGCAGCAGTTCAGGGTTTTTCCTCTCTTGTTCCAGCCTTAAGACTCAGTTGAAGAAAATCCAGCTGAGAGAAGAAAAAGCAATATTTGGTTTTGATTTGATCTGATGCCCAGGCAGAGCTGATATGGCCAAGCAACAGAAAAGGATCTCAGCTTTGAACAAGAGGCTTGGGAAAATAGTCCTTGGCAAATCAGATAGGAGGTGGCTTGATCAAAATTTTGACTTGAACCAAAAAGATGCTGAGACTCTCTGGAAGGAGTGCAGAGAAGAGCAACAAAGATGATTAGGGGACTGGAGGCTAAAACATAGGAAGAACGATTGCAAGAATTGGGTGTGTGCACAGCCAAGCTCCTAACCAATCAGAACACACCTCCATCCAATCAGAACACAGCCAAGCTCTCATCCAATCAGTTCATACCCCCACTGGCAGTTAAAAGGAAAAAAACAGCTACGATCCCACATTGCTCCTAGAAGCACGAAGCCGAAAACACCAGCCTGAAGATGATGAATGAGACTTTGTCGAAACGTCGCCAAGACACTTCCAATTTGATGCGGGAGAAAACCCGAATAACCAAAGACCTACATATATATATAATATATATCTCCAAGCAAAGACATTATAAGCACATTCTTCCCATGGGTCTTTTTCAGATGGGAATATGTAAGCAGTTTGGGAGTTTCAAAACACTAAAAAGATGCATCAGAGAAAACAGTGACTATGGCAGAATTCCTCTGATCATCACACAGGCCCAAAAATATGCTCAAAGACGCTGCCAAGAGAATCTCAGCAGAAATGAAGTAGACAAATAGAAACCACGTTTGCAGGAGAAGAAAACTGGAAGGCAGGTTTGGCACAGGGTTAGTTTTACTTCCTTCTCGCTAGTTTTTAAGAATCTCCTCTGAACACCTTTGAATTCCAATGATATATATATAGGTATTTTCAAGTGCTTATAAAATATAACAAGAGTCTAGAAGGATGGGAGGGAGGGAGGAATGAAAAAGAAGGAAGGAGGGAAAGGGAAAGTGGATGAGAGGGAGGGAAGGAAGGAGGGAGGAAGGAAGGAAGGAAGGAGAGAGAGTAGAAGAGAAAGAAAGGGAGAGAGAGGGAGGGAAGAAAGAAAGAAGTCTCATTCATCTGTGCAAAGATGGCAGAGTACCCAGGGGGGATATTTCCACTAGCCTTGCTTCCATTCACATTCCATCATTTCTAGCCAGACTTATGAAGAAATATATAGATCTGGATCAGATATCCTTGTCTCTTTCCCCAGTCATGAAGTCCAGAAGTGTTTTTACCTCTTCAACGGGAGACAAAAGAGTGTCCCTTTCATGCCATGGCTTCCAAGTTTGACATTCCCATTCTGTTCCTTAGCAAGCACACCTTCTGCAGCTCATCCAATAACAAAGGAAACTCCCTCGGCGCCTGTTTGGGAATAAACATCCTACTTGTCAACTTCTAAAAGATGAGCATTGAGCTTGAGAAAACCTTTAAAGCGTTGCTTCCGCTTTGGCCTGAAGATTTATCCCATTTGGATCAGGACGGTGTTAAGGAATGGAATAGAATGATCTCTCTCTCTGTCTATGTGTGTGTGTGTGTGTGTGTGTGTGTGTCTCCCACGCTCCTCTGAGCCCTGGGCTTTCCCTTTTGTCTGCTGCTCCCTTTTCCAGACACGTGAAAAATCCAATTGGCCAACAAATTAAAGCCAATTAGCACGTGAGCCCCCCAAGAACACCCCACACGCAGCCATCAACTTTTGGCGGAGATGCTCAAAAAGGTATTATCCGAGTTCCGCCTCAGTCGGGAAGCGCACAGTGGCGACGCATTGGCTTAAAATATTAAGATCTCGGGGAGTGAGCAGAGGGTTATTCTGAGCTCCCAGCTGGCAAAGCATTCCTGACGGGAGATGGCAGGGCAGATGTCCAAGGACAATCAAAGGGAGACGAAAGTTTAAGCCAACGTTTGCCTATCTCATATTTTCGGTCTTGATCCCTGCTCCTCAGAGATGGAGAACAGCTGTTGCACTTTGGGGATCAGCCACATTTAACTGTTCAAGTCTTCCACTTCCTTCCCTCCACTCCCACCCCCCTTCTCTTAACTCCACCAGCTTTGGACTTCAACACCCTACATTCATTCCTTAAAGAATGAGGCCCAGCCTTGACAAAGCTCTGGGAAAAAAAAACATGAAGAAGAATGCATATTTTCGCTTGGGTCTGAGATCCTGAGGTTTTTAAGAAGAAAAGTGGACAGCCCTTTGTCTGGAATGCTATAGGGTCTCCTGCTTGAGCAGGGGGCTGGACTAGAAGACCTCCAAGGTCCCTTCCAACTCTGTTATTCTGTTACTTTTCCAAGGTGAGGGACAAGCGGTATCACAGGCACCTTGACATGGTGAAAATGATATAATTTGGACCAGTCATAATTAAGAATTTGTGTGATGATGTCATGATGTCTATGACTTCTTCATGGTCTACATCAGTTATCAAGAAACTCAGGTTATGGAGATGCTTTGGGGCTGTCAACCCTTCAAGGTAGCAAAGACAGCAAAACCAAATCCACAAGTAGTAACACTATGGGTAGTCCTTTGCTCACCACCATTTGTTTAGCAATCGCTCCAAGTTACAATAGTGCTGAAAAGGTGAATTACGAATGGTCCTTGCATGAATGACCCTCACAGCATCATCATGGTCATGGGATCAAAATTAACATTTAACCATTATGACAAAACGAGCCATGAAATTGGATGTGACTCGCTTTACAGCTACCTTGCTTAGCGACAGAAATTCTTGTCCCAACTGTGATCATAAGTTGAGGACAATGTTGCAAGCCTGGAACCACTTCCACTCTCCTTTGCTTTTACTTTCCAGGGGACAAGATGTTCTGAGATGTTTCTTCTTCTTGTGCCACATTGTTATCAGACATTGGCGATCATGTTGGCGATCCTGTTTTTATCAGCAGCCGCACAAAAAAGTGCTGCTGAGTTTTGTCCAAACCAATCTCTTAGATTTTGAAGCCACGGTGTTCTTCTTCTGCCTGGACCTTGTTTGCCTTCAATCTTTCTCTGGAGGATTAAATGGAGTATGCCGTATTTTCTGGGTGTCATATTACATGTCCGAAATATTCTAATTATCATTTTTTAATTGTTTTGATGATTTCCCTTGGCTTTCCCAAGCGGCTTATCACCTCCTCATTTCTGATCTTGTTTGCTCCTTCTCTATTCCTCCTCTGGATTCAGATTTCATTTATTACATCATTGTCTAGCTTGGACTCTTCCTCCCATCTCCCAAGGTTACTCTCACAGTCTATTACAGGCTTTTATGGACACCACGTTTCTTATCCCTGAGAACTGTTCATTTTCAGTAGAAATTCGATTACTAAAAAAAAAAAAAAACAAATGCTTCTATATGGTCAATAATAAAGACATTGGACAGTAGTACAATGTCCCAGGTTTATCCAGAATATGAAAGTAAAGTAAAGGAGCTTCAGGGTTGAAAAACAACAATCCTGGATAGGAATTGTGTATCTCTTTCCACAGCTTCTTCTGGTTTTATTTATTCAAGGGCATGTTTCATCTAAGCTCAATTAACTTTTGGGTAAGTGGGTAAAATTTTGCTTTCATTTCTTCCCAGGGAAGAATCCTACGCATGGTTTTATGCTGTTCTCTTTTTCCTTTCATTAGGGAAATAAATGGTCTTCCTGGAGTGCCTGAGGCATTTTGCACCATAACTTTAACCCACCACCATCTTCCTCCCCACCTGCCAGGGAATCAGAAGAAAAGGATTGATGGCACTTCCATTAAAAACAAAACTGTCTTATTTTACAAGCTGTCAGATTTGGCAATCAAGGGCCAAAATGAGAGGAGAGGCATGAAAAAGGGAGAGAAAGTCTCTTGAACTTCAGTGGGCATTTAATGAAGAATATCCCCAATTTGAAAATCCATCAATTAGTGCTTGGATTGGGTCAAGATTTCAGGTCAACTCTTCTCTTTAATCCATGCTAGCCTGTCTCTTCCTTTTCCCTCGCTTCCTTTTGATGTCCCTTTGGAAAGGTTCACCACCCTGCTGGGACAAAGTGGCATAACTCAGCCTTAATCCCATAGGTGGTCCAACAACGGCAAGAGTAGAGTTACAACATCTAGCAACTGACGTGGATGCCTGTAGCCTCAGTAAATGGCAGGCAATCAAAAAAAAAGGAGAAGAGGGAAGAGGGAAGTGGAAGAAGGAAGGAAGGAAGGAAGGAAGGAAGGAAGGAAGGAAGGAAGGAAGGAAGGAAGGAAGGAAGGAAGGAAGGAAAAGAAAAGAAAAGAGGGAAAGGGAAAGGAAATGGAAAGGAAAGGAAAGGAAAGAGGGAGAGAGGAAGGAAAAGAGGAAGGAAATGGAAAGGAAAGGAAAAGAAAGGAAAGAAGGAGAGAGGGAGGAAAAGAGAGAAAGGAAAGGAAAGGAAAGGAAAGGAAAGGAAAGGAAAGAGGGAAAGAGAGGAAGGGAAGAGAATATTTGGATCCCAAATTCATGTCCTTATGCTCTTCTTTTTATTTTATTTTTTTATGTGTATAAATCTACAGAGTGAACCTAGTTGGGAGTTTTCTGTTCATCTGCCTTCCCACCTTTAAATGTTATCTGTCTTATTATCTCCAGGCAGTTCCATTTCAAGCAAGGAGATTATGCAACCAAGGGGGGGAGAGGAAGGGGAAGCTATGACTTCAGCAAGATATAGCAGACACAAAAAGTGTGACAAATTGCCAGGACAGGGGAAGCAGGGGCAACTTGTGAAGGTGGAAATTAAATCCCCAGCCCGACAATGCACCATTATGCTGGCTTCTATAAGGACTCTTGTTGAAGTGAGATTGAGGGAAGAAAGCCACCAAAAATGAGAGGTGGGGAGAGAAACGATGGACACGTATCTCCCCCAACATCTCTTTTCTTGACTAGTCTACCTCTTCAAACATCCTCAACATCCTAAATTATGTGATGGAAATATTCCCATAATGTGTGCGAAAGCATTGGAATAATAACATCTACCCGCAGACCTCGGCTTACGGCCACAACTGAGTCCCAAAATTCTGTTAAGTGAATGTTACCTTTCTTGCCACAGTTGTTAAGTGAATCGCTGCATTTGTTTAGTTGGTAACCTAGTTGTTAAGTGAATCTGGCTTCCCCGTTGACTTTAGAACAGTGGTCTTCAAACTTGGCCCTTTTATGAGTTGCAGACTTCAACTCCCAGAATTCTGGGAGTTGAAGTCCGCAAGTCATAAAAGGGCCAAGTTTGAAGACCCCTGCTTTAGAACATGGAATGGCAGAATTGGAAGAGACTTTAGAGGTCTTTTAGTCCAGCCCTCTGCTCTATGCGATTCTAGACCAATGGCTATCCAGTCTCTTCTTAAAAGCCTCCAGTGATGGATCACCCACAACTTCTGGAGGCAAGCCGTTCCACTGATTAATTGTTCTCACTATCAGGAAATTTCTCCTTAGTTCTAGGTTGCTTTTCTCCTTGATTAGTTTCCATCCATTCCTTCTTGTCCTACCTTCAGTTGCTTTGGAGAATAGCTTGACTCCTTCTTCTTTCGGGCAGCCCCTCAAATATTGGAACCCTGCTATCCTGTCATCCCCAGTCCTTCTTTTCATTAAACTAGAAAAACCCTATTCCCACAACCGCTCCTCATATGTTTCAGCCTTCATCCCCCTAATCATCTTTATTGCTCTTCTCTGCACCCTTTCCAGAGTCTCAATATGGACCTAGGATTGCTGCAGTCCAGTCAGACCTTCCACTAAGCCAACTTTCAGGACCAAAAGAATAATCTGGGATTAAACTGGTACAGTTCCATCCTTGTAGGACAATGAAATGCCTCGTTCAATCATTCTGGTATTTCAAAGGATGGCACATGGTAAAATCTTGGACTGGGATAATTATATTAAACCACTCCAGAGCCTTTGTCAATGCTAGGCAATTTTGTCTGCTCAAGTGGCCGAGTCACCAAAATTATATTGAGTCCACAATTGTCCTGCGGTGGATATGGCATGACAATAAATTGCCCCGAATCTAAACTGTTTGAGGGCCCCTTTCTCTCACCCACCCCCCCACCCACCCCCCTTTGGACAGTTGCCATGATCCCAGACATTCAAAAATATTTCAGACTTAAAAGGTTAAGATTTTAAGTGCAGCTGATTTTATCGGGGCTTTTAACTAACACAGCCAGGTGGATTAAAAGAATGTGTACAATCTTCACTCCAGACACTTGGGTAAATATGAACAAGCAGCAAGACGGCGAAGGGAAGAATCTGCTGTTATTGTGTATTAATTTGAAAGAGGAGATTAAAGAAAGTGAAGAAATCAGTAGTGTAAATAGAAAAAAGGATTTCAATTTATATGTAAGAACATTACTCTAGCAGCAGCCTGGTTATTTTCAAATAAGGGGGGGGAGCTCTTTTTTT